GAAGGGTTTTGGAGAGATGAAAATGATTTCCCCCCTTTTTTTTCCTTCTTTAGACGATTGGACAATTTGGACAATATTTGATGTGTAGTCAAATCCCAATCAATGCAAGACATGGAAGGTATTTAATTTATGCATAGGGGTAAAAATGTCCAATTTTGACATTCTTGCAACTCCTTAAAAAAAGTGACATTTTGGTACATACATGATGGCAAAATGCCATTTCGTGTAATTTCCTCTTGAAATTGAATGATTTTTATTACCATAATACTTTAGTTCCAAGCCCCTGAAAATTAACCCTATAAATATGTACGTTTATTGCACCATCTCTTTCGCACGTCCTCTCTCTCTCGTTTTCGCACATTACGCACAAGAAAAACCTTAAATTCTCTCTCTGTCTCTCTACTTATATATACATTTGATTTGTTGAATAAATCACTGTTTTGTCTGCGAAAAGATTGTGGTCGAGAAGAAGAAAACACTGGGTAGAAGGAAGATTGAAATGAAGAAAATGGAAAAATTGAGAACAGGCAAGTGACTTTCTCCAAGCGTCGAGTCGGGCTTTTCAAGAAAGCGAGTTAAATCTGTGTTCTGACTGGAGCTGAAATCGCCATTATCGTGCAATCCTTCGCCGGCAAACGCGTCTTTGCTTTTGGGCACTCCAGTGTGGATTCCGTAATTGATCGGTTTGACAATAGAATTACTTCTGATGATTCTGTGAAAAACTACGCCCAAACGCCAGATTTTAAGAGGGATTATTCTGTGGGTTCTGCAGTGAATGATGGTGGTGGGTTTTGGTGGGACATGGAGACCTTGAACTGGATGAACTTGAGATGTTCAAGGCGGCGTTGGAGGAGGAGTTGAAGAATTTGAAAACCAAAGCAGAATCTTCTTCTTCGTTAATAACAGAGGAGTCCAATATTTTGAACACGGCTGTTCGTTAATAACAGCCGCCCCTGCCTGGGGAATTTCTTGGTGGAATCCAGTCATGGAAGCCTTTTGCTAACTTTGTACAAACAACAGTTTAACAACGTTAAACTTCTTGGTTTCTTTAGGTTAGTTTAGATGTTTTCCCAGTAGATTAATGGTGATTTTGTCATTTTTGTTCTTAATCTAGACTCTAATATGGAGTTATTAGTTTTCCATTGATTTGATTATAATGGAATGTCATAGAAATCTACAATCCAATGATTATGAAATTTACTTCTTCCAATTTTCAGTATATTAATTCCACAAAATCAATTGAATCGATGTGCATGCACAACTTCCATTGGATCAAGATATGTCTGAAGAAAATGAGTAAACATCAGATATTTGCAACCGTAACACAATACAGTAGGAATTTCCTTCCCATCTGGAATCTTGTTTTCTAGAATCGCCAAAAATCGGAGTTATACCAATTTCGATGAGTGGTTAATTTGGTGTACACTATACCCTTTCAGATCAATATTGTCCCCCAAGCCAGACAATACTAAGGAGCTAGGTTGTTAAGGCACACAAGTCATTTTCACGTTGATTCATAGACGCAATACGATA